AGAAGGCAGGCTTTTAGTGGCACGGACCCACTTGGTCACACCCACTTGGTCACACGAACACGACGGGGGCTGGTAACTTGCAGGTGGGTGCAGCGGATTCCTGTCACTACCTAGTGCCCCAACAGGTCTGGAGGGCACAAGAGGAGGAAACTGCGGGATGGCTCTGGATGCTGGGTGAACCCTGGGCCCACTCTCCCTGAGGGTGGGCAAATATATCTGGTCCTCTGGCCTGGATGGCAACTCTCCCAGCCCTCCTGGGTGCCCCTGGCAGGGGACATGCTGTTTCAAGCTGCCACAGGGTCCTGGTCTGGAACCAGCCCAAGCAAGGGTTCAGAAAACTTTGGTCCAATTACTGGCCAAAGAAATCAGTGAATGAATGGGCCAGAACCAACAGCCAAGAGCAGCCTGGGGGATCTCAGGGCCCAACAGTGAGGATGAGACACTGAAGGTGTGGGCCCCTGGGTGAGGGCCTGTGGCATAGCTAGCATCCCTGGGGAGCCAAGGCCCCTCCTGATAGAGCAGTAAGGCCATTCACAGACACTGAGGCTCCACCTGCTCCTGAAAAGCACATGTGGTAGCCCTCTCAGGCCACACTACCCAAGGTCTGTGCCCGGCTTCCTGGAGGTGATAGTCCTGCTCTGTGTGGCTCTGCTCAGAGTTCTGGGGAGTCAGGGTTGGGCTAAGAAGCCAGCCTGGGAGGAGAGACCCCTGGCACTACCCCGAAGTCCTTGCAGTTGTCCTAGGGTTGTGGGGACAGGCAGATCTGCAGGTCCAGAGGCAGAATTGGGACTCACTGGAGGTCTCAGAGAGACAGCTCAGGGCCTGGGTGCTGGACCATACTGGGCAGCTTGGTTCTCACGACTTTCCCAGAGTTGCTGGTTTTTCTCCATGCACAGAAGGGACTCTTGCACCACCTAAAATGGAGCCATCAGTCAGCTGGGGGAATATGGAGGGGGGTCTCCATCCCTGGAGGTGTGTAAGCAGAGGCTGAACTTGTAGGGATGCAGCTGCAGTTGGGCCCAGTCTACCTCCAAGGTGACCTCGGCTCAGAGACCGCATGATGTCCCCCGGCCGTGGCGTGCGGTATCTGCAGGTGGGCGGGGTGGGGGTGGTCCGAGGCTCAGGAGGGTGGCCAGGCCCTCACTCCCCAGCGATGGTGAGATAGGCTGATAGGCTGAGGGCGCCAGGCCGCCGGGGAGGAATGCGCCGGCCTTGCTCATAAACCTGCTCTTCCTCCTCCCTGTGTGCGCGTGAGGTCGTCCAGAGGTCACTCTCGGGAAAAGTCAGCAGGAGAGGCCTGTACGGGCAGCCCCAGGCTGAGCTGGGCAGGGCATGGCGCAGGGACAGGCCTGGCGGCTCTTGGGGTAGGTCTTGGAGACTGTGGAGTCAAGTCTCAAATCTTGGGGCCTTGGAGGCCCCACTCGAAGCCTGCACAGGTCGCAGCCCCCAAGTGCTCCGAGGCCGTGCAGACAGACCTGAGAGGGCCCCAGGCAGAGCAGTGCAAGCCCCCCGCCCCCCTGCCACTGTCCAGCTGTCCACACAGGCCCAACCGAATCAGGAATCACCCCAGGGCCGAGCCCGTGGCGCACTCGGGAGAGTGCGGTGCTGGGAGCGCAGCAGCGCTTCCGCCGCGGGTTCGGATCCTATATAGGGATGACCGGTGCGCTCACAGCGCTCACTGGCTGAGCGCGGTGCGGCTGGTCTCAAAAAGGACAAAAAAAAAAAAAAAAGGAATCACCCCAGACGAAGGATGGCAGGCTGCGCTTGCTCGGAGGTGGTGTGGCCCCAGCCACTGAGCCCGGCTGGTTGTCCTGCTGCTGTGGAGCCTTGCAGGGTGTGGGCCTGGACAGGGCGGGCAGTGATGGGCCTCAGGGCTCCCTGCTGGGGACAAGGCCTGAGGAAGCCACACTGGTGGTCTCACTGCCCCACGTGGCCCTGGGTGGCCTCTGATCCTCCAAGACTGGCAGGGCCTCTCAGAGGAATAGAGCTGCATTTCCCTGGCAGGACACTGGTCCTCAGGTGCTGGTCGGGGCAGGTCCTGGGGGCTGCTGCTTCTGCAGCCTGCATGTGTGTCTGTGCTTGGGGCACCCCCAGAGGAGGGGCACAGTGGGGGGTCCGTACAGCTCTGGTATGTATCTCCCAGGGGGCATCCCTGGATGTTTTAGTGCCAGGCAGGGATCAGATAACTCTGCCTGGGGCAGCAGGAGGGAGCCAGGCCCCGGAAGAAGGACTCTGAGAAGGGAGAAGTGTGGGTGTCCTGCTTCTCCCGAGGCACTGTGCTGCCATTCCCCACTCTGGCTATCTGGACATCCACAGTGTGGCCTCAGACCCCAGCTAGCCAGGAAGGGAGGGTGCGGGGCTTGTGAAAGGTGGCAGGGGCTTGACAGGCACAGCCTCACTAGGACCACCGGGAGCAGAGGCTCAGGGAGGGCTGTGGCTGCGAAGGGTAGAAGCTGGGGTCTGCACTGGGTGCCTGCCCCCTGCCCCGGCCCCTCTATGCCAGTGACAGGGCTGCGGTCCTCAGTCCTCTCTGAGGCCTTTCCAGACTGCGCTTATGGGCTGGGCTGGCCCCCTCCCTGGAGGCTGTGAGCCCAGGCCCTGAAGGCCGCCCCACCCCCGCCCACCTGCCAGGGTTGAGCTTCTCCCCAGCAGGGGCTGTTCCCACGTGTGCAGTGAGGAAGGAAATTGCAAATTAATCTTTATTTCCATCTTGGAAGAAAACCTTAATTTTCTGCATTGAAATGATCCTCATCATTGAGGGAATCAATTAGGGGCTTTCATGGCAGTCAGTGCTGGCCAATCAGAGCAGGGCAGACCTGCCTGCACCCGGCACCCAAGCTGTCCTCCCTCTGCCTGGGTCTCTCTGAGCCTCTCTGTACCTGTTCTCTCTTTGTCTCTCCCTCTCTACTTCTTTCTTTCTCTGTCTCTGGGTCTCTGCTGTCCCCTCCCCAGCCAGCGCAGGGCTCAGGAATAAACCCCCAGGCTGGACGAACCCTATGGGGAATGTTTGGACCCCAGGCCTCCTCCTGCAATCTGTCTCTGGCCCCAGAGCTACAGCTTGGAGGGGTGGTGGCCAAGGGTGGGATCCAGGGCAGCTGTCGAGAGGTGTTGGGGACCTCACCCACTCAGGACTGGTCTTTTATTGATGGACTCAGGTCAGCCAGAGACCTGGTCCTCAGGAAAGGGGGCCAGTAGCTGTGAGCATGGCCCCATCACCATGCACGACTCTGTGTGTCACAGAAATTTCCCCTTGTTCACCCTTAATTTGTGGATGATACACCAATACAGTCTCTTTGAACAAAATTAAAACATAAAAGGTAGGGCTGGGTGCCCTTCACCTCCCACTGCCCTTTCCAGCCCTGTCTCAGTGGTGGCCCATTGTGTTTGGTTTGGGGCGCATCCTTGCATGCCATGTCTGTGCAGTTAAACATATACACCTGCTGTCCTGGAACACACACAGCAGCGCTTCATGGGGCTGCCTTTAAACGTGAAAGGGATCATTCTGCTCGTATCCTCTTGCAACTTCTTTTTCACCTGTCACTCTGTGGCCACACACTGTTATTTGGGTGTCCGTGCTGCTGCTGATGCATATATAGTGCATTGTCCCTGCTTCAGGCAGGGCTGCCACCAGCGTCCCTCCTCTTTGCGCACACCTCTGCATATTTGATTATGTGCACAGAGCATGTGCATTTTTAATTTAGGAGATGTGGCAGCTTGCCCCCCCGAGTGGCTGTGCAGATTTAAATTTGTACCAGTTTAAAAGTAAATATTCGGGCCGAGCCCATGGCACACTCGGGAGAGTGTGGCGCTGGGAGCACAGCAGCGCTCCCGCCGCGGGTTCGGATCCTATGTAGGGATGACCGGTGCGCTCACTGGCTGAGCACGGCCGGTCTCAAAAAGGAAAAAAAAAAAAAAAAAAAAGTAAATGTTCAGGAGATGGATATGCTCTCTACCCTAAGTGAATCACGGTACAATCTATGCATGTATTGAAACAACACACTGTTCCCACAAATATGCACAATTAAATTTTAAAATATAAAAGGTATTTGACAACACAAAATGGTACTTCCTTTTTGCTTTAATTTGTTTTTTGTTTTTTGGTTTTTTGGTGGCTGGCAGGTACAGGGATCGAACCCTGGACCTTGGTGTTCTCAGCATCACGCTCTAACCAACTTTAATTTCGATGGGGATGAAGACCAGAACTGATTGAGATGTAGTGGGGGAGGGGCATGTGGTACCCCCTGGTCTTGGGAGATGGCACAGAGGGGCCCATAGGTCAGGGGCAGGGAGCAGAGGCCCAGAGACAGGATGAGGAATGGCCCAGCTCCCTTGCCCCTGGGCAGTGACTCCCAGCTCTGCGCTGGCCCCTGGCCCCAGGAGCTCCAGTTACCTCTTGGGGTGACATGTGACAATGCTCTTTGCTGGCTCCTTCCCTTCCCTGACTCAGGTCTCTCTCACCGTGGGTACTTCCTGGGATCCTCCCAAGTGACCCCTTGCACTGGAGCCCTTGGCTTCGGAGGGGTCCAACCCGAGACACTTCTGTGAAAGCCTTGGCCTTCCCCAGTGAGGCAGAGCGATGGGGGCGCTGGGGAGAGTGGGGCGAGGGTGACCATCACTCTGTCAGGCTTACCCTGGCCATGCGGTGTACAGTGGGGAGATGGAGAGAAGCTATGGTGTTGATCTAGGGAGTGACCTGGACTTGGGAGGTGGCCGCAGAATTGGGGAAAAGTGGTTGGATTTGGGATGTTTTGGAGGAAGACCCTGGGGCCTGCTGGCTGGACATGGGCAGGTGAATGCAGGACAGGCCGGCAGAGCTCCCGTGGTTGGGGAAGGGGGCGCCGACTCCTGATGGAGCCCCAAGTGGAGAGGTTGGGTGCACGTGAGGTGTTGTGTGTGGACTTCTGGGGAGATGTGCAGGCTGAGTCTTCTGTAGAGACACTGCGTGGGCTGCTGGGGTTTGGAGCAGGAGGCAGACCTGCACGTCCCGGAGGGGCCTCCAGCTGGACTCCAAGGGGCACAGACAGGTGATGCAGGGGCAGCGGGGTCAGGATGAGGGGGCAGTGTGAGCAGAGGGAGGTGCAGACCTCGGACCAGGTGGCAGGCATGAGGTGGGCACACAGATTCCAGCCACATCCTGGAGGACTCAAATGTTAGGCCAAGGAGCTTGGATTTGACCTTTTGAGGGACAGAGGAGTGATGTGGTTAGATGAGAAGCCCCCTGGGGGTCAGGGGGGTGGTGCGAGTTTGAGGAAGTCACCAGGCGTCTGGCTGGGGGTGCTGAGATGGTGGGATGCCAGTCCTGTTAGGCTGGCTGGGATATGGCTGTCAGGCCTGGTGCTCTGAGAGAGGGACAGGCAGTAGGAAGCACAGGGTGGTGGGAGCTGTGGGTGTGGCCTGGTCCCCCAAGTGTTTGTGAACCAGGTGCTGAGGCAGGTCAAGGGCGGGTGCCTGTCCCTGTTGGTGAAGGTTGCTGTGGGCACACAGGCCAGGCCAGTGTGTCCAGAAATGGAACCAGCTCATTTCCAGGGTGTGTTCCATGGCAGGGACCCCTGAGGACTCACGAGGGCCCATGAGCAGGGAGCACTTTTCTTTCCTTCCTTCCTTCCTTCCTTCCTTCCTTCCTTCCTTCCTTCCTTCCTTCCT